GTTGCTAACTGGTTAGCACTAAGTTGCTAACTGGTTAGCAAAACGCTTCCAAGAAACCGGCCACAATCAAATTTGCTTGCGAACAATGGCGTAAATATCGGTAAGAAGTGACAGCAGTTGCTTACTTGCCCACGACCTCTTAGGGGCCCCATCACTGACACCTGGGGGGCCCCTACGCAATTGTAGACAAGGACGTCTCTTTGCAGATGTAATGTTGCGAAAAATTCCTCTTAAACCCACCTGATGCTGAAGTGGCCGACCGCACCGGACCGTATTTATACCGCAACACATCCCAGATTTTAACATGTTGGTGAGCCGTTTAAAACACGACACCAACAGCAAAGCTGTTTTTAATTTCTATATTAATAACTGTGTATAGTTCATTAGACGGTTGGTAAAAAATACACCCATATAATATGTTTCAAACAGCAATAAAGCTCTTAAAAGAACGATGTATTTAAGCATTTATTTTTTACACTACGACTTGGAATTATGGGTAATCCAGAGCGTAGATTAAAACCATAACCGTTACGTACAATGTGTTAGAGACGATGGATACCAAAAAGAGGTACTTTCCGATTCCAGGAAAGAAAAACGCAAAGAAGAGCTGCTGGAAGAACTGGGAGAATTCGGAAATGCAACGGTTGGAACAGCCGCTTCGCTACGACTTTAAACGTTAATGAACAGTTCACCATTACATAAAGAACACAGGATATAAATAACACTCTAAAATACTATGGTTACGTTAAACTGCACGAATAGATATGACCATACTCTTACTCTGAGCTACAGGCAGGTTGCCATGGTTACAGGTGTCCAGATGTTCAGGTGCGCTCTGATGTCCTGGAGATAAAGTCTCTCATGAGAGGACCAATCAGAAATGTGTTTCTGTGCCATGTTTGCTCCTCGTTTCTGTCATTAGACTATTATAAATATACTAATCTGCAACCGTGAGCGGAATACGTTCCGTTGCCATGACAACATAATATCCACTAACTTGTTTTGATTAGGCTTTAAAATAATAAAATTTAAAATCCAAATACACGTAATAGTAAAAAAAAATAATAATTTAAATAATTTCCCAAAATATCCCCTAGAAATGTATACATTTTTTATCTCCCTCTCGCCACTAGAGGGTGCTGCAGCACCCCCACTTCCTGCAGCCATGGGCTCCTGCTTCTTCTGCTCTGTTGATTTAGATGCTTTTTTTTCTTTTTTTTTTAAATAGTAAAGAGATCTGCAGCGATGAAATCGGAGGCAAAATTGTCATGTGTCCCCTTTGTGACAAGAAATGTGGTTTCTGGAAACTGAACACAACGTGCAACTCCTCGTGGGTGAGTTATAGTGACTCACTATCTACCCACAATACGTGGCATTTAAAGAACAACGGTGGTTAATCAGTAAATAAATCAGTTTGTCATTTAATGATCACATCATAAACATGTTTTTCTTGCAGCAATCACACCTATTTGACAACGTGGCCACCGTGTTTTTTGCCATTTTCATGGGTATTTGGGGTATGTCAACAACTCTGTTCTCAACGTTTTATCTTTGTAAACACAGTGCACCACCTAGTGGATTGTTTAGGAACTTGATGTTTACCAGTCAAAGGAATAGTTTAGCTTTCAGTCCCTTTGTTGAGGCTGAAAGGCTGAAAGTCAGAACTGTTGCTGTAGACCTTCTAGATGTAAGCATTTCATTCTGTGAGCAGAGAAATGATTCTGACCTGATGCCTGTGGTGTGATGCCTGGTGTCCTCCTGCAGTGACGCTGTTCCTGGAGTTCTGGAAGAGGCGCCAGGCCCGTCTGGAATATGAGTGGGATCTGGTAGACTTTGAGGAAGAGCAGCAGCAGCTGCAGCTTCGTCCAGAGTATGAATCCAAGTGTACAAAAAGCAAGGAGAATCCAATCACCAAGGTGTTTGCTCACTAATGAAATACTAATCCTCTGTGTTTCACTGGAAACCATCATAGCTCTGAGTTTATCCACCAGAATATCTCACTGGTTTGACCTGATTACCTGCTGGATTTACTGCTGTTTCACCCAATTCACATTGACTTTCAGCAGCAGATTATTTACTGGGAACTTACAAAAAATCACTTACATCATCCATCCATCCATCATCCATCCATCCATCCATCCATCCATCCATCCTTCATCCATCCATCCATCCATCCATCCATCCATCCATTCATCCATCCTTCCATCCTTCATCCATCCATCCTTCATCCATCCATCCATCCATCCATCCATCCATCCATTCATCCATCCTTCCATCCTTCATCCATCCATCCTTCATCCATCCATCCATCCATCCATCCATCCATCATCCATCCATCCGAGTCTGGAAAGAACAGTTTTATTTTAACATTTTCTATTGAATCCTGCATATAAAATATAACCACTGTTGCATAAACTGTTGCCACCGTAAAGGTTTAAGAATAAAAAAGATAAACAGATGGCCCTGACTTTCATTGCTTCAGGAACCAGAGGGGGTCCTGGACAGAACTGCCATGTATCTAGCAGGGAAGTTTTTTCTGTGCTGGGCTTCTGTGATCTTATGGGTAAGGGTGGAGCGCAGCGTAGGACTACCTGTTGGTGAGGAGGAGCTGTGCTTGTTGTGTGGGGGAACTACAGCTATTTCTGGAAAGACTCCAAGGCTTAAGGTTCCTTCTAACACATTTGGTCTCTGTTGACACATGAGTGTCTTAAAAGCATATGTCAATATATATAAACCACAGAGGCAAAAACACATGGATGAAAAAATAAGTTCTGCCTCTAATGTTAAATCAGAGGCAGTTGAAGGAACCTGGCCTTTCAGAGCTCTCTTTTCAGGATGTCGCACAAATGACTGACCCCAATGCTTTGCTTGCTTCTGATTTAGGAAATGGAGCCTTACTTACCCGTAACAAGCAAGTGTGCACGCTCATGTCTGTCTGGAGCTACCGTCCTGTTGTGGGTGAGCATATCATCTTCTGATCTGATTTAAAGAACTTCCATCTACCCTGATCCATCCATCTTTCTCTCCATTTTTGCATCTGGAACACCTAAGTATTAATAAAAAAATAAGCTTTTAAATGTGTTTTGTCGAACTAAAGGTGATCAGTTTAAGAAAAAACAAAACAATCAAGCGTTTCACAGTTGTGGCAGATTAAACCAAATGGTTTCATTCTCATTAATCCTAATTTCCTCGTCAGACTAAACACATGGAATGAGCTTCATCTGTTAGGATGCAGCATATTTTACAGACAATCTGCTTTGATGTCAGACATTTTTCCTGTGCAATAGTTTATACGGCAACATGGGAATTATCCCCAGAATCGCTTTTAATGAAGAGAATAACTGCCTTTATAAAAGAAGGGGAGCTTATTCTTCATCATATATAGAAAATGATACATAGAGAACAATAAAATGATATGGAGGCACTGGGAATTAGATCGATGACTGGATCAGCCCTGACCGTGTGTTTGCTCATTAATTTTGCTTCTGCTCGTTAACTATTGCACCAAGTTTACACTAAAAGTAACAACAAAGGGTTTTTATTCAATGTAAAACAGGCAGGAAGACTCAGAGTTCATTTCTAAAATATCTATCAGGTGTTTAACCCAGAAGCAGCTGGTGGAGTTTTCTCCAGTGGGGGTTATAAATTCAAAATAGACCAAAAACCAATCAAATGTAAATGTGTAATAAGTTATCACAC